GCTGTAACTTGAAAAATTTAAGTCGGAATCAGCTCAAACGTTCTACACAACATAAGGACATCAATATGTGACCATAATTGACAAAAGGGACCTTATGGCGGGTAGTGAAATTTGTCTTTCTAGCCTAAGAAATCCAACTTCCTGAGCCCCATTTATCATAAAATTACTCCACAGGATGCAAAAAGTTACCATGAAACTTTTAGAAACAATGATTGTCTAACAAAGCACTCACAGGTTGATATTTTCCATTATAACGATCAATTTTAAAATCCGCCATAAGGGCCCTTTTGTCAATTATAGTCACATATGTAATAAAGGTTTGAGGTAGTTTTTGAGCCATTTTTGAAAAAAAACCATGTGCTTTTAGCTTTTGCTTTTTTTGGAAAATTTACTATTTTAAAAATTGCTGCATACATGTATCTAAATATTAATTTTTTTGTTAGAATCAACTTAATGTCAGTATTAATAATAACTAATTATTTCTTATTATTTATTATAGGTTGTGGACCTGAGGCTGAACTCATCATCTCAAGGACTGATCTCTCATTCATATACTGAAGATCTATAGACTGGGTTTAGGAACTAAGGACTGTAACACTATAAGACTGGTTTAATTAATTAAAATCATTGTTGACTTGTACTCTGCATGTATGGCTGAAGTGTGTTTTTTATTTTATTGTCATTTTTCATGATTTAATCTCAAGTCATTGCACCTGCTTCTGCATTAATGGCTCTCGTAATAATTTTAATCAAAATTCATAATAATCAATGATAAAAAGACAACTTTGTGTATTAAACAAAAATGCTAAAATTATAAACAATAATGTTAAGTAATTCTATATAGTCTTCAGTTAATGTACAGCTTCAAACAGCAAACAATTAACCTATAGCAATGACAACATATTAGCAATACTATACTTAGAATACTTCTCAATGTAGTCTTCAATAGCAGAGAATTGTACTTATCCTCTTAGTGTCATTAACCTAACAATGGAATGTAATTCATCATACATAGTTACTGTTAGTATCTATTCTTCTTGTATGTAGTGCTCTTAGCATCACTAGCAGTAGTAACCACTAGTGATCCCAGGCAGTGTCACATGGAGGCGGCACTACATTGCTGCCCACACTACATGTACATGCACATGTATGCATGCTAAAAGTCATTTAAATCATTAGGTGTTAAATCCAGTACCTTTAATGACAAACATGTACATGCACATGTGTACATGAACATACATTGTTCCACTAAAATGCTAATAGTTTCTTTGGCATGATATAGTTTAAACTCACCTCAATTTTAAAAATCAACATGTCCAGAAATGTGTTGGTTGAGATAATTCCAATTATAGTTCTTGCAATCCCTAAGTTTGTGAGATAAGCCACAGCTAGCATCACTAAGAGTCTTTGGGGTGTGCCG